GTCAATCAGCCAAAACGTTCAGTGTCCGATGTTTGCTACTTTAGATTTTTGCTGGTGATACTAGGATAATAGCAGCTAATACATTATGGAGCTGATTAGCAATATGCTGACTGCCTGTGTGAACCATCACACACTTGAATCACACCATGTTGAGTTGTTAAGTAATCTCAAATATACTTGCCAGTGTGGTTTCTGACACTATATGACATACCTATCTATAAACATTCAGACTTGATGGCTATTGCTACTGCTTTTTAGCTATGCAGCATACTTTCGTCCATTTTTACAGATAACAAAAACCACAGAAACAAGTTTATTAGATTGCTCAACAACTCGACACAGTTTGAGGCAACTGTGAGACGATTAAATATGCAGTTTACACAAAGCTAAACTCACAGCTACAAGCTTCCATTACTTGTTAGCTACATTAGCCCTGTAGCTCCAGTCCAAAATGAAAGAAACAAACATGTCTTGGCTGATCAAAAAGTCTTCATTATGTGGTTTCTGACACAGTATGACACATTTTTATCTATAAAAACAGACAAAATGCAGGCTTGATGGCTCCTACTACTGGTTTTTAGCTATGTAGCATCATTTTGTTTGACATTACTTAACAACAAACTCAGTTTGAGGCATCTGTGAGATGATTCTGGCATGTACTTTATACAATGATTCCAATATTTACTACACTGTTATGATATATATTAAATATTTGTTACAGTATTTGTTACATCTGGGGTAAAAGGGGAAAATTGTGGAAGTTTGATTTTTCAACTATTGCTTTAATCAGTCCTGAAGGGAGAGTTTGTGAGGACTCTCCTGCTGGCCACCTCACCTGCTGAGCACAGCAGAGCACAGACAGCCAGGCAGCAGAACACGGGTTTCAGCTCTAATCCAGAACGACTCCAAAATAATCCCCCGCCCTGCGAATCCCAACGCTTTTACACTGACAAGATGAAAAGCTGGGATGGGGAATGAACTGTTGCCACACACACATACACGTTCACAGGCATCTGTTTTTAAGCTTACTCGGCATGAGACGGCAGAATAGACTGAATATGAAAAATGGAATGCAAGAAACCAAAGAACGGACAGATGAAGGTGAAAATGCAAAGTTACATCAGCGCACTGTGTGGGAAAAATCCATCTCCATTAAGTCAAAGGTCAAAGGTCATGGAAAAGGTTGTGACCAAGGTAAGCTAGGTAACTGAAGGGACACATTATCAATGTTTTTCTAACATAAGGGGAGATGAACCTCTGCTGTTTGGTATTGGGGAAAGGCAAAAACATCCAGCCAATCAAATCGGATCTTGTAAGTTGTAAGCGGGGATGCACCGATACCAGTTTTTCCCCTCCAGTACTGATACTTGATCCTCAAGTATCTGCTGACAGTAAATACCCATACCCATCTACATCCATACCTATATGCACAGACCAGTGTATATATACACACACACACGCACACACACACACACACACACACACACACACACACACACACAACCAGACTTATTTCCAAGTTGTTTTGGGGCATTTCTTTTGGTCCATTCATCATAAAATGTACACACAATGTAAAGAGAAACAGACATTTTCAACTTATGTCAAAAACAGAAAAACGTCAAAAATGGAGATATGAGGTTTTCTTCTGACAGCAGCGACATATATATTGCTTGAAAATGCCCGTTGCTCTTTACATTTCAATTTCATGATGAATGGACCAACAGAAACGCCCCAAAATGACTTGGAAAAATGTCTGGTTGTGACTTACATTAGAAGACAAGTAGGATTTTCCTTGTCCTGTAAAGTTAACATTTCAGATATACAAGGTTTTGTTCCGACAACAGTGAACAGTCAACCTGTTACCTAGGTAACTGATAACCGAGGGGAGACATTACCTAATTAAACTGATGACTGAGTGGACACATCACGTAGGTAATCGATAACTGAGAGGACACATTAAATGGGTAACTGAGGCAACACATTACTCACATAAACTCAGATTATGTAGGTTACTGAGGGGACATATCACTTAGTTCACTGAGAGGACACATTTTATGTCCCTTTTGGTTACCTTATGTGAGTTTATCTGAGTTTATCTTATCTTTATAGCCATGATTACACACAAAAAAGTAGCAGTTCATTTCATCTCTCCTTCCCTTGCAGTCTCTCGTTTAGACGGACATGCAGACTTTCTGTCTTTCTCCCTTTCTCTATCACACACACACACACACACACACACACACACACACTTCTCCACGGCTGTGGAGAAACCGCCTGTAAATATTTAATCATTGGCAAGCTAATCAGGTGCCCACTTTAAATGCCAACACACAACACACACTCAGCTTCTCTCGCACACACACTTACACTCCCCTGACAGAGAGACAGTAAACCAGCAATGAGAGTCACCCCTCACTCCAACAGGGTCTATCTCAGCGCTCTACTCCTCAACCTGCTCACACTACGCTCATACAACTGAGTGCACCGTTAATAATGTAATCTAATGTTAGATAAACGAACTCAACAAACATACAATATCACACTGACCTTCAGGAAGAGACGAAGGGTAAACAACCATTACAGCTGCTTATTAGAGGAATAATTCACTCAGAAATCAAATCAGCATAATCCTCTTCTTCTGCCTTCAGAACACCACATTTCTCCATATTCTGTAGATAATCAGTATCCACACCGGGGCTCTGTCATAGATTTAGCTGTAAACCAATCTGTAAACTAAAAAAACTAAGCACACTGTATTCATTTTAGGAAAGCTGAGGTAGATTCTTATTTCAGTGTTTTTGAGCGAGTAGCTAATACATTAATTTGGCCTAGGGATGTTTGGGCATTTTTGTTCCAGTGCAAACTTATAGGAAAAGTGCATAACGTTTGCTCGTCTTTGTCTCTGCTAGATAATTTACAGTATGATTCATCAAGGCTGCAATTCTTAGAGCCTATGACCTAATGCCAAGAGCATATAGGCAGAAGATTAGGTCTCATGAGAAAAGCCCACACTAGACCTTTATAGAGACAAAGAAACTATGCTGGATAAATGATGTTCAGCAAGCAAAGTCACTGACTTTGAGTCACTAAGAGAATTCATTTTGTTGGAAGAATTTTTAGAACTGTTTGCCAGAACGTGTTGTAGTCTATTTAAATGAGAGAAAAGTTAACTCCGTGTCTAAAGCTGCTGTGTTGGCTGATGAATTTGCTCTTGTGTTCAAGCAAGTTGGTGTAGAATCACCTGGGCTACCATATAGCCAGTTAGGTCAATTAGTCTTCCCGTTGCACCCATTTCTATTGCCATAAAACTGATCTATTTACTCACAAACTGTTCAAGAAAGCAAAAACAGAGCTCTAGTCAGAGCCGGATTGTTGCTTTAGTTAAAACTGTAATTCCACTGATCCAAGCTACCAACCTTTCGTAATGAAAGCTACTGTTTCATCACCAGGTGCAGAGCAGATTCAAGATCCTGTCACAATTATGTGTGACACTGGTACAGCACAGTCGCTCCTTTTAGCAGGAATTTTTCCTTTATCCGACCGGACCTTTTGTGGAACTCATACATTTTGTAAGCAAATAGCTATGCAGTTTGTTAAAATTCCCCTGCATTCAGTCTCCCTTTGTTCTGACTCGGTCAATGGGATATTCAGAGGAGGCGTGTGTGAGTTTCTACCTGTGGATAGCATTGCTTTTGTTATAGGCAATGGCATCACTGTAGACAAGGTTTTCCTTCTTTACACTCCTCAGACACTCCCCTTGTTTCTCCTTTGTCTAAAGAACTGGCTTATGTTCTTTTTGCAACATTACCCAGATATGCTAAGGCACCTACTCAGTCTTGCTTTTTGGAAGGTATAGTATTGTCTGATTCTATTAATACTACTTTACACAGCTGTGCGTCTTCTGATGTAACTCTGTGTTCAACAGACCTGCACAGTGCAAATACGATGGATGAATTAGCCTTTAGTCATGATCAGCCAAACAAAGCTCAGCAGAGTGTTTGGAACTATGTGAGATGCATGTGCTTTGCACTACACGTCCACATTTTGATATAAATCACCTATATTTTCGCAAACAGCTTCAGATTTCTTGATGATCCTGTTAGATTTTGTTAGCTGTGTCTCTTTCTGTTACTTGTACAGCAGTTCTTTACTGTAGGTCTATACAGGTTTGTCTGGTTGTGCTGGCTCTAGATTCTCTTTAACTGGTGCTTTTCTCCTGGGGGAGGACAGATTAGACTGTGTGCGCATATACATTTACGCCTGTAGGTATTTCATTGTCTAAGGACACCAGATTCGAGGCACGTATCGATCTCTGTATGTTTTTTGCTCGCTACACATAAAGTGGCAGCTAGAGGTGTGTAGCTCTTAGTTTAGAAAAGTCTCTGCACTCCCTTTATTGTGCTCCTCCATCCTGTTGTTACTGTCCTTCACTCTTCCTAGACCTGAGCCTATGACTGGGATGTAACACAGTCGATAAAAACAATAACAAAAAATAAAAATATTAGAAAAATAAAATTCAAAGCAAATAACTAAAATAAATAAAATTATAAAATAATAAAAATAATGATAACATTTGCATTTTACATAAGACTCTAAAATAAAATAATAAGTGCATTATTTTAGTAATAATTATCATTACTATTTAAATATATATAAGCATAAATCCAAAATAATACAATACATTTTATGTACGGTAATAATAATAATAATAATAATAATAATAATAATAATTAGCTCTTCTAAACTATTTACTTATTATTATTTTACATGATTATTATGATTTTACATGAAGACAGTTTACAGCATTCCATAGAAAATCACAATAACTCCATTACACACCTTTTCAGATTGACCAAGCAGGTTGATTCATAAAAACATACAACAGTGAAACTTAATATTGTTATTTCTGTTAGTCTACAGCAGCCCAGTGGCCTAATTAGCGTACTCTGTAACAAGCATGCAATGGAAATAGAACAGAAATAGACCAAAAGAGCCCTTACAGTGTGATGCAGGCTGAAAACGCAGGTGATCCGTCTGCTGTTCCTCCGCCACTGCTGCCACTACTGCTACTGAACTCAGATGTCTTCTGAACAACAGCCAAGTATCTACTGAACACTTTCAGGCTGAATCATCTGCATATATCAGACCCCTGCTGCTTTCCCCCATGCCTACGAGAACAGTTCACGCCTCAACATAAACACACGACTGTGTTGTAATTCAGATCTGATGAAATACCTGATTTGCCCTGTGTAGTGCAGGTGCAGTCAGAGTTTTAATGCAGAAGAGACTAATACTCAGAGTCAGAGCAGAGGACCAGGAAAAAGAGAATAAGCTGTTAAACATTCATATGACTGTCATAATTACCATGTCAGCATCTGTTCTGAACAAAAAAGGCCAAATTAATGGCAGAACCTCCAGCTTTGGTCACAATAACATTCTTCTGAAGATCCAAAACAGGCAGATTTATTATTATTCAATATATTGTACAGTTTTCTTGACTCCATTTTATTTAAGACAATTTCTGCAGGGACAAAACCTTGTAACTTTACAGGAGAAGGAAAAATGTTCTTTTAAAGGACGTTAATGTAGAAACTTTTATTCCAATTCTTATCTGGACCATTTTTATCCAACCATTCATCATGAAATATCTATACATTGTAAACAGTAGCTGGTGTTTTTGAATTCTATATACAAGGTTCTAAGATACAAGGTTTTGTCCCAAAAGCGACAAAAGGTTTTTTTCAGCTGTTCGAGAAATTCTGCTGGAGAAAACAGTCACCACTCGACACTTTTAACAACAAGTAGGATGTGTTGACTTATTTTCACTTAGAAAATTATCAAAATGTGTGTTTTGACAAGGGGTGCCCAAACTTCTGCGTATAATCGTATATGAATATCCAAAATCATCTCAGAATTCATTTCACATAACTGCATATTCAAATAAGGGATGTATAGTTTGAAAAAAAGGATGTGTTGTGTATTGTCGTGTGTATGTGTGGGAAACACTGGCTTTATTATTATTATTATTATTATTATTATTATTAAGTGGTGGAATCATAGCAGACTTTGATATTGTTTCAGTACTGCATGTAATAGTGTGATGCATTTCCTGCAGTGCAGCCCGTTTGAGGGTCTACTGAGGTGGGATCTGGGTGACAGTGCATGTATGTGTGGAAATGCAGGTTTAAACGTTAATATAGTTCCCCTGAATGTGTGTGTCTGCTGAATGAACTGCATGGCTGTGTGAGCGGCCCACTTACACGAGACATGAGCTCTGACTGCTGTGTCCCACCGCAGAGCCGCCAACGACACACACACACACACACACACACACACACACGAACTCCCGACACCTCGGCGGTACACATGCAGTCCTGCCCCGTGCACGCGCACCTTGCCGTGTTCCCGTGTTCAAGCTGTACCGAACACAAAACGACTACACACAATATACACACACCGAAACACGGCACCCACCTTTCTCATTTCACGGCTCTGCGGGTCTCGCGCGCGTCCGCCGTGTCCGTTCACTCTGTGCTCCTCGCGCAGCGCTGCTGCAGCACCGCCAGAGCTGGATGCTCTGCCTCTCTCCAGCCTCCTCTCTCTCTCTCTCTCTCTCTCTCTCTCTCTCTCTTCAGCCTCCTGCTCTCTCTCCCTCTCTCTCTCTGTTCAGCCTCCTGCTCTCTCTCTCTCTCTCTCTCTCTCTCTCTCTCTCTCTCTCTCTCTTTCTCTCTCTCTCTCTCTCTTCAGCCTCCTGCTCTCTCTCTCTCTGTGTTCAGCCTCCTGCTCTCTCTCTCTCTCTCTCTCTCTCTCTCTTCAGCCTCCTGCTCTCTCTCCCTCTCTCTCTCTCTGTTCAGCCTCTCTCTCTCTCTCTCTCTCTCTCTCTCTCTCTCTCTCTTCTCTCTCTCTCTCTCTCTCTCTCTCTCTCTCTCTCTCTCTCTCTCGCTGTCTTTTTGTTCTCTTCAGGAGCCAGTGCGCGCCCTCGCTTTTAGCTGTGCGCGCACGCGCGAACTAATGTCGAGAGCGGAGGACTTGCTTTTGGATGAGCGCGCACGCACACACACAAGGCGCAGGCTGATATCAGAGGACATTTGTAGGGTTTCATTGTTGTTATTATTATTATTATTATTATTATTATTATTATTAGGTTACCTGAGATCTTGTGACGCCACGCAGGTGGGCTACCCGTATTGATCAAAAGCCTACCCAGTTAAATGGAAGACAACATTTATTATGTTGCACTTTTTAAGACAATGAAATCTAATTTGTTTTCTGTGAGTGCTGTTGCTATGTTATGGCCAAAAAATCAAAATCGCTCTCTGCTAAGCCAGGGAAGGGAGTGCAGCAGTGGAGTGATATAAGTGAATTTGGGAAGATTGAAAACAAGTCATGCTGCTGCATTCTGGGTGAGTTGCAAGGGCCTGATGACTCGCATAGGAAAACCAGCCACACTCTCAGAAATAAAAGCATGAAACTGTCACTGGGGCTGTACCCTTCTTGTCTCTGGGGTGGTACCCTCAAGGGTACATATCAGTACCTTTACTCAGGGCACATAATTGTACCATAATCCATTGAAATTATATTGACTCCACACACCCTGTCTCATCTCCAGGCTTTTTATTTTATTGTTCTGTTTTAAAACATTAGGTTATGAAAAGGTACAGATATGTATTTTTCACCTGGGAAAAACCTATTTAAGGTACATAATTGGACCTTAAAACCAATGTTGTACCTTAGAGGGTACATTAACATTGTTTGTACCGTGATGATTGAAAAATGTACCTGCAGAGTACCTTTATTTCTAACGGTGCAAGAGTGAGTTACAGTATTCAAGCCTTGTGATGACTAGATAATGAACTAGCACTTGGATAGTCTCCTTAGGGAGAAAGGGTCAAATCCTGTTGAACAGGAGAAACCTGCATGACCGACACAGGTTTGCAATTTGATATGAGAATGATAACTGGTCATGCAGAATCACACCAAGACCTCTTGCATCTTCAAACAAAATGACGAAAGAGTTCTCGAATGAGATGGCAAGATCATGGTGAGGACCTGTAGTTCCAGAGAAGAATAGCAGTTCAGTCTTGCCAGGATTGAGCTTCAGGTGGTGAACTGCCATCCATAAAGAGATGTCATTCAGACATGGCAAGAGGCGACTAGAGGGTGGGAAGGAAAGCATATGACTGTTTGTCATGTAGAGGGATGATTCTTATCAGATTTGATCCTGATTTTTTTTTCACTTAGCAGGTGCTGCAATTCATCAAGTGTATAGAAAATTTTCAGAACTATTTGCGTGTAACATGGAGAAACTTAACGACTGTCAAATTATTCAGTCAGGTAAATCCAAAAACTTTGTAATATGTGATTTTTCAAAGGGTTGTAGCTGCTTGTCTTGGATGCCAAAAACGATAATTTGCAAGTATTAACCCTTCCGCATGCACCGTCGAAAACTATTTAATAAAAAAAATCCAAATATGTTAATATGAAACCAACTTTACCACAGTAACTCAAACATTGCTAGCTTAATCAGCATGCTTTAGTCTAGTTCCAGTAGCTGCTCAGTTTGGGCTAATGTGACGACCTCCTTAGTTGTGTTGCAAACACGTTATGTGGTTGAACAAGTATAAGAAAGTTCACTGTTAACTATCACATTGGTGGTGGAGTATCATGTAACATAATTTGGAAACCAACACATTCATTAGACTGTATTATATTTGGTTAATTATATAAGTAGCACACCTTCCTGTTTGCTAGATTTTGGTAGAGATCTTTTTAAATTAAGCTTTTAATTTAAACTTTTATAACATATTTTTTAATGTATGGTTTTACTGTAATCAGTGAGGACTGAGAAGAGTGAGGTAAATAAATAAACTCAGTTTAAAACAATTGCCTGATTCAGTTTGGATTTCAACATGCATTTTCAGCTGTATTCAGAAAACATCTTTCATGCCCACCATGGCAGTACACTTTTGAGTATGATGATTAGGTTGAGGTTCCTCTAGTGGCTCAAAAAAGCCCAGAAGTGGAAGTTCTCCTCACGAGAAATGCACAATGTACATCAAAATAGGACAAATGTATCTTAACTGATCTAAGCTGTCCTTGATTAGACCAACTGACAACAAATACTAAAAAAATCAGAATGGCACTCACTGCTCATCAACCTCTCTACAAAGAGTAAGGGTACATGAATGTAAGTTTGCCTAGTACTTAAACATTTTTATGTACATCATAAATTATCTTATGTTTTAATAATTGGTTTGTTAGCCTACTAGCCATTTGTCGGCTGTTATAGCTACATTCGCTAACATCTGTGCAGGCAGCCAAGAGTTAAGCAGTGGATGTTCTAATGAAGTGGAGTTTTTTGGGGTTTTTTTGAGGGGGGGGGCAAGAAAGCATAGGACTCACAGAAGCACTTACAGAAGATCTATCAGGAATATCACCACTATTAAAATCTCACATTTCTACTGCCTATATACAATATCAAAACCTCACTTACTGTATTACAGTATAACTCCTCTGTAACATGGTGCTTATATGCACAGCTGTACAATGTTACTGTTTTACAAATTTTCATATCATCTTGTAATATAATGTGATGCAAAGCCATCAATCAAAAGTTAATTAGTTATTAGCCGGTGGGCACAAATAGCCCTTATGTAAAAAGCAGCATATTCAAATGCTTAAATTGAAAAAAAGGAGTAAAATGTCCTGGCCTTTGAGATTTGTAAAGAGTACTTTGAAGGTCTTAATGAGAATGTGAGGAGTAAAAGGTATGTGGTTCTCTCAAATAAAAGAAATCACTGTTTTAATTTCTAATTATTTGTTGGATGTGTTAGATGTGTCTAGAATGATCAGTGGAGCTGTAGATGGCTCCATACTGACTGAGAAAGCTGTATCATCAACATCTACAATGAAATTATAATAAAATATACCTGTTTAACATCCAGAGTGAAATTCTAATTAAATATATCTGCATAACATCCAGAATGCCTCAAACCTGAAAAATGGTAATCAAATCTTAATGCATATAACATGTAAAGAAATGACCATAAACAGATAATTACAGTATGTTATTTACCATGTAACAACTAGCCAAAAAATCTGAAATACTGATTAAAACACCTTCTAACATTTCAATCTACTTCTATAATTTATTTTTCAATAAATTAACAATGAGCAATGTGT